TCAAGCCAAAAGTTCTTGTAGTAAACTGTCCTTCTTATTCCCAAGTTTATATTGTCATCACAGTTCACAATCATGCCCACCGTCCCAACACACCACACCCAAGTCTGTGTATGAGTGTGACTTGTTTTCTACGCCTGAAAAGCAGCTTTATCATAGGTGTTAGGAGCCATCTTTTCAAATGCAACTATAACAAGTACGTCTGCTAAAAATCACCTATTCACAATTAGCTGAACGGTTCAAGTCGGCCTTGCAGTTATCCTGCCTGTGAGGCTCTAATGGCAGGCCTCCGTTGTTGTTGGTTGGTTGTGATTTCTGACCAGAATACACTTCCTACTCTGCTTATGTAGCCACACATAAATGGCATAACAGAAAATAATGGCAACAATGAAAAAACACAACATAAGTACACCAACTAAACCATACATTACAGTTAGAAAAAGACTTGTACACCCCAAAGACAAGATATCAGCAGAACACAAATGTGGAGTCATATATAAAATCCCACGCAAGCTATGCAATAAAACATACATTGGTGAAGCCGGACGGCAACTCAACACACAAAAAGGAAAGGAAGTGATGCCACTAACAGTGGCAAAACCGTAAAGAAGGCTGCAGTGATAGTCGAAACATCAGTAAAAACAAGGTAAAAATAGCACTTTTTCTGTGTTAAAAAAGAACCATAACATGAAGATTACTGAAAGTGAAAAGCAAGGAAAACATATGGATAAACTAACAAAATGATCAAACTTAACACCAAGAAAAGGATCTTACAAAGTAAATCAAAGAGCAGAGGAGATATAGCCTAGTGAACTAGACCAAATTCTTGCTTTGCAAAGTTTGGTCTAGGAATGCTCCACTGGAACCTCTGTAGCCCCAACAACAGCATTCTGGCTGGCTGGCCGATCACAGCTCTCTAGAGGGGTTTCAAACACAAAGAGCTGTGATTGGTCCATAATGGTGGGCCAATCATAGTGCTCTATCTGCTTAGTGAACAAATCACAGAGATTTATCTGCTTTGTGGGCCAATCAGGGCACTCTATATGCCTGGTGGGTGGGATGATGCAACAGAGTGAAACAAGAGAATGTCACATTCATTGTCCAGTGGAATGCGGAGATCATTTGAAAGACAACGGTAGAACCCGCCCCACAACCGAGAGCCGTCAATGGAGCGTTGCCAGACTAAATAAATAAATAATAATACATTTATTTAGTCTGGCTTGCCAGGCTAGAGGAGATAAACACAATTGGGGGGGGGGGGGGGACTGAGGAAAAAAAGTAGAACAGGAGAAGAGACTAAACAAAAAAAGACTTAAGCCTGATTCATGCTTCTCCGTCTGCGTCTGTGCGGAGACACGCAACGCCATTATCCGTCCTTGCGTGCCTGCCGGAGAGCTCCGCAAGGACGGGCGGAGTCGAGCGCTCTTTTCTAAACATCCGTCAGTCGAGATGGACAACGCAAGCTTGTGATTGGTCAGGACGCCGCTGTTGTTTACAGCGCCGCCAGTGCACCCTCAAAAACATAAAGAGAGCCGAGGATAACAAGCGGCTGACACGGAGAAGCTTGAAGAATACCTCGCGAAAAACTCTAAAAATATGAACGTTTAATTCCCCCGTGACTGGAGGAGTGAAAAGATGCACAGCAAGCGTTTTATTTGTGGACGGAAATGACAGGAAACGTGGGTTTAGAGGTGGGGAGTGCATGAAGCGGTGGAGGAGGATGAGAGACAAATATGTCTGTGTTAAAAAGTCTCTTATATACACAAAAAACACAACATAAGCACACTATCTTGGACCGATACATGACAGGATACCACAGAACAGCACTACGCCCTCTGTTGTCCTGGCGAGGAATTGCTTGGCAACACTCCCCAGGAGACGGAGAAGCATGAGAGCAAAACGCTTCCATCAATCCGTGCGTGTGTCCCTTGCGGAGCTGACAAAGAAGCATGAACCAGGCTTTAAGAAAAACACAGTGCTCAAAGGCACAAAAACGGAAGCTAAATAAAACATGAAAATAGAAAAATTACACAAACAATAAGAAAGTGAAAACTGATTAAGTAAAAACTGAAATAATCAGAGGCTAGGGCTGGAAATGGCTGGACTGACACTGTAACAAGGGTGTGAGTATGAAAGCTGAATGAATAAATAGAGGGACAGAAAATGCGAAGATGCATAGAAAAAGGGGAGAGACATGGAAGACATAGGACAGAGGACATGAACAATTCCACAGTTTTCAGGATCCCATGCTAACCTTATTTTTATTTTTATTTTATTTTTTTCATTTTTATTCTCTTTTTTTTATCTTAATTTTTTTTATCTTAAATGTTTTATTATATTTTTACCTCTTTTATATTTTAATTGTTCTTTTGAAGCGACTCGTGCTTTGTTTTTATTAAGCGCTACATAAAAAATCCTTTCTTGTCATTTGTGTGTTTCTCTGAAGTCTTTGGATGGACAAGTTCAGTTAACCAGATTCAAGACAGGAGAGACAAGTAGAGCCACTGGGCCAGCCTGAAAGACTGAAAACCCCCAACACCCAAGCACATTCCATTGGCCATCATCTGTGGCTGGCTGCATTTACAAACGAAAGGCAGCTAACGATCAGTGATTTAGTCATTGTTATCAAACCAAGCAGTCATTTGACAAAGCTCTGGTAGAGCTGGGGGAATCAGAAAATGCTGGGAGTTCTAGTGTTAAATAACTGAAATGTTTTTTCTGAAATGTTTGTGTTTGTAAAATTTCACTTAAATGTTTTTGATACATTCTGTTTTTAAAAAATTTAAAAAATAAATAAAGGAGCAATGCAATACATTGCCACAGGCTAAATTCTCCCAGAGTTACCACAAGGACCAGTTTGGTCCAAGAGGTGCTCGCTGCAGAACCACAAAGGCGGAGCTGCACCAGAGTCAGCCCCGCCCATTCCATCAGTCAGTCCAATTCCTTCCAGTTGTCAGACTTGATAGAATCAGAATCAGAAAAGGTTTATTGCCATTGTCAGTGAACAAACAATTCACAAACTAGGAACTTGCTTTGGTACTAATGTGCTACATATAACATGAATAATAAGATTAAAAATAGAATAAAATAGAATAAAACTTTCAGCTATAAAAAATGGCAGGTAATGGTAACACCGATAACATGACATTGTGTCGAGTACCGAAGACGAGCATGGTTGTGTGTTCATAAGCTGTTCACAAGTCTAACGGCAGATGGAAAGAAGCTGTTCTTATGGCGGGAGGTTCTGGTCCGGATGGACCGTAACCTCCTGCCTGAGGGAAGTGGCTCAAAAAGTCTGTGACCCGGGTGAGAAGGGTCAGCTGCTATCCGACCTGCATGTCTCCGAGTCCTGGAGACGTACAGGTCCTGGAGAGATGGAAGGCTGCAGCCAATCACCTTCTCAGCGGAGCGCACAATGCGCTGCAGTCTATGTTTGTCCCTCACCGTGGCTCCAGCGTACCACACAGCGATGGAGGAGGTGAGGATGGACTCAATGATGGCCGTGTAAAACTGCACCATCATCTGGGCCGGCAGCTTGGCCTTTTTCAACTGCCACAGAAAGTACATCCTCTGCTGGGCCTTTTTGATCAGGGAACTGATGGGTGGCTCCCACCTAAGTGGGAGTCATTGTCATTGTCATTGATAGCATTCTGGAACCAAAGAGGGTGTTATAGCCAATATCATCTAAAATGCAAGATTGAGGACGGAGTTGAGAAGTTAATTGAATAGTTTTTGTAAAGGTTCCATATAATAAAAAATCTAACTTTTGGAACTTTTTATCATGTTATATTTTCATTTCCTCATAAGAAACACGCCAAAGCCATTTTTGGCCTCATTCATGCATTTTCCTCCCATCTCAGCTGAAATTTGGTCTCCTCCCCCGAAGCGGGTCTGGTCTTGGTTCTCAAATCTGGATATTCTGTGAATTTTCTGACAAATTATTTCTGAAATGACTTCTACTGAGACACCACCGGAAAAACCATACATCCCATCCACAAAGGCACACTGGATGGCACAATCACATGTAACGCCACCTGCTTTTTATCAGATGTAGTGGTGAAGTGGTTATGGAGTCAGGTTGACATGCAGTTTTGTGCAGGTTCACCTCCCAGTAGAGGTATTAACTTTTTTCTTCCTTTCTAGCTACACTTGCCACTACTGTGTTTACAACCATTTATTGGTATACCGTTTACAATATGATGACTAATGTGTTTGTTTTTTTATTTATTTGTTTATTTAGCCAGTGTGAGTCCATTTGTGAGCAGAGTTTCAACTAAAATGAACGACCAAATTCAAAGAACTTTTAGAGACATAAATATTTTGCAGAAAATAAACATTACAATTAAAATATAAACAAATTAAAAGTTTCAGCTGGCTAAATAGATTACTGCCGACCCCACCGAGAGTCGAACCAGCATCAGCAGAGGGGAAAGCAAAACTTCAGTTAGATACTCATGCCACTGGACTACCAGAGCCCTGACAACAATAAGCCTTAAATGCTGTTGTAGGCCGCTTTTGTTAGAGCGGCTGTGGGCAGATGTTTGCTAAAAGAAATCTTTCCATTTCGGGATATATTCAGGCTTTGTCATGTAGCAAGTTATATTTATCTTGTTTTATTGGAGCATAGATCATAGCATTAACAATTGTAAACTAGTAACAGCCGTAATTCATGTGGGTCAGGTTAGTTAGCGATAAAGTTAAAAAAAAAAAGACAGAAGAAGTCAGTGGGCTAGGCTGAGTTTGCGTGAATGGGCGGGGCTGACTCTGGTGCAGCTCCGCCTTTGTAGTTCTGCCGCGAGCACCCTCTCGTTTGGTGTGCCACCCCAAAGATTTCTCTTGCCCCGTCTGGCCACCCCTATCAAAATTTTCTGGAGGCGCCCCTGTTTGGTCGACATCTGAAATGGTGGTAAATAATGTGGAAGTTGATTATTTTCATATGGGTAGATGGTTATAAACTCAAAGGCTTAATTATTCTAACAGGGATTTTCTGTGTTTCTGATCAGGATGAAGTTCTGGCTGTGTCCAGGAAGATGGTGGTGCGGGTGGAGGACCTGGTCCGATGGTCCTGCTCAGAACCAGTGGGCTGGAGCAGCAGCCCGAAGCCTCCGCTCAGCGACACCAACGGGCTGCACAAGTCTCTTGAGATCAGTGACTGCACCGAAAACTCAACCGACACCAGCAGCCAGCTCCTGACAGTCAAAACTGAGGGTAAAACAAGCTCTCTGCTTGGTTTTTCTGGTGTTTTAGGAAATTAAACCTGCAGTTTGTAACTTAAACTGACCCGGATTTTCCTCCCGTTCTTAATCCTCCAGTGTGACCTAAAAGAGTGGCCGTGCACAGAGAAAACTGGAGTAATGTAGAGAATATTCAGACACGCTTAGTGTCTACAGCAGCTAACTGACATGTATAATAAACTAAATGCATATTAAAGAACTAAAAATAGAAACGGTAGATTCAAAAACATAAATAAAAGCATTTATGAAACACGTTAGGTGTGAAACTCTTTATAGCTGTTTTAGGTTAGTCTGACCTAGAAGATGACCTAAAACTAGGGATGTCCCGATCCGATCACATGATCGGAAATCGGCCCTGATCACGTGGTTTCAGACTGATCGGGACTTGGGCGTTACTTCCCGATCCAAGCCCCGATGCGGAGTTGGATACTGGGTTCAAATTACAGGAGAGCAACTTGGTTCTCCTTAAGCCGGGCGTACACTGTGCGACTTTTTCACTTTTTGAGCCGATTTTCCAGTCGTGCGAGAATCCACGACATCGGGGCGAGTTTTGCCCCGAGCGGTCGTGTAGTGTACGGGGGTTACGAGAGGCGATTAACACCACGTGACCAGCTGCCGATCAGCAGTCGTGAGGTCGCACGGACTTCTGGCGTGTTTAATATTTCGCTCCTCCCTCGTGAGGGTATCGCACTGTTGAAGCGGCGCTGCGAGCAGCTGCGACCCAAAGAACCGCTCACGGCACATGCGCAATCCTGCATCACCACCGCTCCCCGCTATCTCCCTAATAACACACGTTGTTCGTTTTTGTTTCTACACGTTTCTTTACTCACAAAGATTGTCATGAAGGCGTGTTTGTCGTGTTCATGTCAAATTAAACTGATCACAAAACACAGATTTACTTTCTTTATTTCGTTTTACTCATCCAACCCCCATAAATCCCTGTGTGTCCTCCTGCAGCACTCCCGAAGGACAACAGGCAAAACAAGACAAAAAAGTCTGACGTGTTGAGTAAAAACTGCTATTTTTAGCATATTTTTAGGTCCGACGTGTTTCTACCAGACGTACAGTGTGAGCAGTCAGGTCGCATCCGAGAACTGGGTCGTACAGTGTGAGTGCCTGGCTCGTGAGATCTGCTCTGCGAGGAAGTCGTACAGTTTGAGCTGAAGCTGCGTGCTACGAGTGAAAAAGTCGCACAGTGTACGCCCGGCTTTAAAGGTTGTCAGGCTCCCCTGATGCTCTTAACTTACACACCCAGAAGGAGCACAAAGAGATCCAGTTTCCACCCATTTTATATTATTTACATGGACTCAGTAGCGGGATTCTTCTGAGCATGTGGAGAGCAGCAGGAAGACAGCTGATTATTGATGAACTCCAGCTGCGTTCTGCACACGGCCACAGTAACATTTTCTAAGTAGCCTCACCAAAAAATATATAATTAACACACAGTCATTCGTGTCGGTTCATTTTCTCTCTGGTAAGTTTTGTCTGTATTTGAGCATGACGTGTGGACGCGCCCCCGCTGCAGCGCTCGTCACTGGCGCAGCCGGGCAGCGCGGCGCACACTCCGCTTTTTTTGCGGTCAATTGATCAATTTGATCTGCTGGTTAAAAAGTGACGTGTGAGGTGAAAAAGAAGGAAGCAGGCAGGAGTTTTTCTGGAGGACTGGGAGATGCAGGAAGATCAGAGACGGACAGGACAGGAAGACAGGAAAATAAAAACCAAGAAAACAAAACAAAGTTCTTAACAAAATAAAATGTAGGTAGATTTATCCCACTACACGTTTGTACCTGTATAAAGCGATAATTTATCAGCATGTAGTATTTATATAGTTGATACAATTCAGATCATCTTCAAAACTGGTCCCATACCCAGGGATGTTTCTAAGCATTTTGGGGACCGAGGCAAAATAGACCCCTGCCAGGTGTTTTAAGTAGAAGTGCTATCTGTTTTTATATTAGACATTTTATATTTGCAATAAAGTCCAAAAGTGAAGAATTTATGTTATTTATTACTTGATTGTTCAAGCTACCTCACAGAAGTGATCTGTTGTTACACATTAAAATAAAAATGTAATTTAATAAAAAAAAAAATAAGGAACATTCTGGAACTGTTTCTTCCTTTTCTTGTTTTTTTTTAATGTATCGAAAGTATCGGATCGGGACTCGGTATCGACAGATTCTCAAAATCAAATGACTCGGACTCGAGGGCAAAAACACCTGATCGGGACATCCCTACCTAAAACCAACGTTTTTTAATATTTTGTTTTTAATTTGAACATTTTTCCAAACTAAATAATTCATTATTAAATTAAAATCCAACCTCCCCAGGTTTTAGTATTGTGTTTTCCTCTTTAGAAAGATGTAGAGCAGGGGTTCCCAATTGCTGAATCGCATTTTTGCTTCAAAATGAACTTTTCATAAATGGGTTTAAGTGAAGTTGAGCTGAAGCAGTTTTTTGTGCCCTGGATTATTTAGCTTTTTAAGAGTGCTTGTTTTCTGGGGTCACATGTTTTGACCTTTTCTGTTTTGTGGGTCTGAAGCTGAAAGGTTTTAGCCTAGTGAACTAGACCAAATTGTTGCTTTGCAAAGAATGGTCTAGGCACGCTCCATTGGAACCTCCGCAGCTCCTACCAGGACTCTGGCTAGCCAATCACAGCTCTCTAGAGGGGTTTCAAACACATAAAGAGCTGTGATTGGTCCATAATGGTGGGCCAATCACAGTGCTCTATCTGCTTAGTGAACAAATCACAGAGCTTTATCCGCTTTGTGGGCCAATCAGGGCACTCTATATGCCTGGTGGGTGGGATGATGCAGCAGAGTGAAACAAGAGTGAGTGCGTTTACATGCAGCCAGTAACCCTTTTAAAACCCGAATATTCACAATAACCCGGTTCCGCAGGTCCGCGGGTGGGGGTATCTTTACAGTATGCTGTAATAGGAAACCGGCTTCAACGCAAACGGTTGTTTTCCGCTTGGTCCTAGAGCTCAACCGGTGTCAATTTAATATAAAGTAATATTGTTTTTGGATGGTAAAAAGTGCAGGGGTCAAAACTTGACATTGGAAAAAGTGGGGGGAACATGCCCCCCCCCCCCCCCAATACATCCATGAGTTTAATAAACCTGATTAAAACTATTCATTGGGTGATCATAACTCAAGAATCTGCATTATGTTTTTATTCCTTGGTCCCTAAACGACCCGTAGTCAACAGTAGCAAGAAGAAGTGTGAAGCTGTGTCCGGTCCTTGAACTCACCGTCATTTATTCATTAGAGGCCGATTCTAATATGTTATTTAACATAAAATCTCATTGTGTGTTTGTGCAGCAGGAGCTTTTTCTTGGTTAGTTGGGTCTGTTGTCTCTGACGTTTCTGGGAACCAGCTGAAGTCTCCAGCTCCGTGTTTCATCCTCTTTTTTTATCCATCGGGATTTTCTTGATCCGTTTTGTGTCTCTCCCTCTCAGACGACTCGGAGCAGCAGCAGGGCATCAAAGTGCTGAGCTACCCACATTACTGCCGCTTCCGCTCGCTGCAGAGGCGGATCCAGGTGGGGGCGAGGGGCCCGGAGCTGCAGGACCCCCACCTGCTGGCCCTCGGGGGGATCAGGGTGCTGCCTAACGCCCGGGTCCTGTACTGCAGGGACACCTTCAACCACCCGACGCTGGAGAACAGCGCCTGCTTCTCCTGGCAGTTCAGTGAGTCTCAGAGGCAGAAACTCATAACATGAAGAACACCATTTATTGTGTTTATGTATTAGAAGTTATTTATTTTCAGGGTAAGATTTAAATGTTGGAATCAAACTTTGTTTAGAAAGGGGGCGCTGCAGGGAATTGTCCTGTCACCCTTTCTCTTCACCCTGTACAAATCTGACCTCGGGTACAGGTCTCAGTCCTCCCGAGGACACGCTGACTCTGCCTTTGTGGCCTGTATCAGAGCTGGTCAGGAGGAGGAATATGGAGTGGTGGGAGCTGAACATATGTCATCAGATGGGTGCCAAAACCCGTGCACGTGTATCACGGGTCCACATCGCACGTGCGAACGGGACTCGCGCGTGGAAGTTAGAACCTCTTGAGTGAAAATATACATGGTGGGAGGTTATTTGTACACTGAGAGAGAGCAAACTGTGTCTGTGAGCGCACAAGGATGTGCACAAGTGACAACCTTGCGTGCACGCGTTGACCAACGAGCACACGGCAGAGGAAAACGTGTGCTCGCTCGGCTGTTGGGAGTTTTGGCACTCTGGAGGCGTGGCCTGTGGCTGATCTTTTCTGTCCTCTAATTGGTAATTTTTTTCCGCCCCTCACCCTCCACCTCACTGGCCCATTGACTTCCTCTCGGAGCACAGTGGCGGTAGCGGAAAAACAAACTTGATTCAATCTTTAGTAAGAGCTGTCAGCTCAGTTGGTAGAGTCGCTGACTCTCACTCGGAGGATCCGGGTTCGAATCCAGGCAATATAAATACAGTGGGGCAAAAAAGTATTTAGTCAGCCACCGATTGTGCAAGTTCTCCCACTTAAAATGATGACAGAGGTCAGTAATTTTCATCATGGGTACACTTCAACTTTGAGAGACAGAATGTGAAAAAAAATCCATGAATTCACATGGCAGGATTTTTAAAGAATTTATTTGTAAAAGATCAAATCTAAACTATACATAAAAAATAGTGCAAACATTAAAACACCAAACTTAAAGGGATATTCCACTCAGAAGTCGAATTTTTTGTGTTAGATTTCCCGGAGTTAGATAAGTGAGAAAAAGGATTTTGTAGCCAGCGAGCTCAGTCATTCTCCTGATCTGGAAGCAGTAAGTTTTGCTTTAGCTTAGCATAAAACAGTCTTTGTAAAGGGAAGGTTCTAGCGTAGAACAAAATCTTATTTAGGGGTGGAATAATACCCTTAGGAGTTAGCAATGAAAAAAAAACACCTGATTTTTTTTATTTTTATCGGCTTTTAAAAATTATTTCTGCCAATATAGAAAAAATTGAATGTATCGGATTTGATTGATGGCAGTTTTTACTTTTTATTACACTCCAAATGTAATCTTATGGCATGTTCCTAATTCGTAATCTTTTAGAATGTAATCGGCGATATTAGCATCCCTATGGGTTTATCCATGTTTATTAGCATTGTGTTAACCACTCGCTGCCGGTCAAATCGCAGCCTTTACGATTAGAAAATCTCCTTTTGTCACATCGCAGTTTAATTGCATATGCAGTTAATCGTTTATCCCTGGTTTAAGGTAGGTTGCTTACACTAAACTAAAACCTCCAAATTTGTACCAAACAATCTTACCCAGTATTAAAAACACAACATTTATCATGAAAGTAATCCCAACTGTAATAAAAATGAGAAATGTATTATAAAAGCTAATCCTAACGGTATTAAAAGCATAGGAGGGTAAAATGTAAAGTGTTCTGTCACCATCTGTCCCCCATTAGCACACAACAGTAATAACTACAGGTCAGCCATGACTTCACCAAAATAAGTTTAAAATAAGCAAAACGGACATTTGTGATTCTAAAATGCAAAGAAAGAGAGAGAGTGAATAGGAAAGAGGGAAATCAGTAAATCTTGGGGAAGGCAGAACAAGGAGAGGGTGATGAAGGTCCCACCAAAGCCTGAACAGGTGAGTTTAAAGGAGACCACTGAGTCCACTGATCTCAGGCTCAGGGGGAGAGAGGTCTAGGGTCTGGGGGTCACAGCAGCAAATGATCTGTCACCTTTGACAGCAAGGTGGCTTTGATCACTGGACCTCAGGGACCTGCTGGGGGTGTAGGGACTAAGAAGATCACCAATGTAAGATGGTGCTTGTGCATGTAAGGCCCTATAGACCAGAACCAGGATCTTGAAATGAACCCTGAAGTTGACTGGCAGCCAGTGAAGCTGGAGGAGAAGCGGGGTGATGTGGGTGTGTTTGGAGGACTTGGTCAGAAGCCGAGCACAGGCCTTCTGAACCACCTGTAGACGGTTCAGGGACGTTCTGCTCAGACACGTGAAAAGAGAGTTACAGTAGTCTAAGCGTGAGGAGATGAAGGTGTGGAGAACTGTCTCAAGTTCAGAGCGGGACAGAATGGGACTCGGCTTTGCAACGTTCCTGAGATGGAAGAAGGAAGAGCGAACAAGAGAACTGACATGAGAATCCAGGGTGAGAGCTGGGTCAAAGGTCATGCCAAGATTCCTGACAGAGTTGGTGTGAGAAGCAAGCTGACCAAGAGTAACAAGTTCCAGTTTTTAGCACCTCTGTGTGAAAATGAAGATTAACCAAATGTTCTGTGAAGGAGGATCTGGTAGTTTTTGAGGCTCCTCTGTAACTCTAGCTGTGTTGTTGTGTAACACGTGTATTAAGTGGTTGAGGTGCGAGGTTGTTCACCAATTTGGACATTAGCTTTAGAAGTCTTCGTCTGCAAAAGCTTTCGAAGCTTAGCCACCCGTATTTTTTGAGAATCTGGCAAAGATGGTAACGTTGATGCCAACAAGCCGATTACTAAGGCTGGTTCTGTCCTGGGTGTCGACTGGAGAACCTCCGAGAGGGCTTGGAGAGGAGGATGCTGAAAAAGCTTCTCGGTACCTGGGACCCCCACACACACACACCCACACACCCCCATCACCACCACCTCCATGCACGCCTCCATGGTGGACCATCAGAGCTCACAGCAAAACCGAACAGCACAGGAAATCCTTTCTGCCCACAGCAATAAGACTGAATACCTCTTCCTCCTTCTGTAGGTGATTATTTCTCTGCTGCCTTCTAGTTGTAATTATTTGATACTTGTTTAGAAATCATCTGTTGTTTTTGTTTTACTGTCTCATATTTAACCCTCTTGTTGCACTAAGCATGTTCATGACTAAATAATTTGTCTCAGGAGAATGAAGTTCTTATCTTAAAAAGACTTCCTGTTTCCTGCAGACTGCTGCCCCCTGCTGGACAATATACAATTACTAGTTAAGTCATCAGTTTTCTTTTCAAATTTGTAACAACTGTGTTTTATAGGATGTCCGTCTCTCAGTCTTCGAGGACGGCCTCGCAAACGGAGGGGCCGTGATGGCAGAGATCCCCAGACTTCCAGCCCATCAGAGTCCTGGATCGAAAGGATGAAGGTTTGTCTTTGTTGTTACATTTTTATTTCACTCAAGAGGTGGGAGTTTGTTCTGAAGAATCGACCTGTTTGCGCCGGTTTTGGTTCCGGTCCAGGAGAACGTGATGGGCAGCGTAGAGGTCGGCTATGAGGGCAGCTGGCTGCCTCATCCTGAAGAGCAGCTGTTCCTGGATCAGCTGTTTGCCTTCATGGAGCGCCACGGAGCGCCCATCCATAAAGTTCCCAACCTGGGCTTCAAGAAGAGTGAGTCCTCCTTGCTTCGCCTTTATTTGGTTGTTGTACTTCCCAAATTGAATCCCATGCGGGTAATTTGCTGTTAAAAACTAAATGTGTGTATTTTGTGTCAAACTAATCACCTCTTGATGTTTTCATGGTTTGTGCGACTTCCTGCTCTCCAGTCGACCTCTTCCTCATGTTCTCAGTGGTCAAACGGCTCGGAGGCTACAAGAAGGTGAGTTTAGATTTAAATCTCGAAGCGGCGTCTGATGCTTGTGGTTCTTACCATCAATCGTCCTTCCTGTTTCCATCTCAGGTGACGATGGAGCGTCTGTGGAAGGTGGTTTATAACGAGCTGGGAGGATGTCCGGGCAGCACCAGCGCGGCCACCTGCACCAGAAGACACTATGAGAGGTTCGTAGATATAAAACCCGCCAGCACTGCTGCTGGTTTCAGGTCATTCAGTAAAACTTCTGTGAATCTTCTTCAGGTTGATCCTTCCTTATGAAGAGCACCTCCAAGAAGGAGGAACAGAGTTTAAAATTCCAGAGTTGCCCATTCTCCCCAAACCCCGAGGAATACGAGGACGGAAACCCAATCCCAGAGGCAGGAAGCCTGGTCCTAAACCCAAAGAGAAGACATTTGTCTCTCCTGCTCTCCCTTCTCCGACTGTGAGTCACAAACCGGATCTCATCACCTGTCAGCAGGACTGTTTGGTTCCATTTCTGTTGTAATCACGTTTGTAGGGATTAGGTTCTTCAGGGACGATTTGAAGGTTTAGAAGGTTCTGGTTCTGAACAACTTCTCATTCTGGACAGATTATGAGCCCAAATGGCACCATGGTGGTGAAAAGAGGCAGAGGACGGCCTCCAGGGACTCGAAACAAGTCCACACTGATGGCTCAGGCCAAGCTTCTGGCTCAGCAGCAGGCTAAAGCTAAAGCAGGACCAGAGTCGCTACAGATCAACCCGACAGCCAGCAGCACACACCGGGTACGTTCAAACTATCGGACGGGGGGGGGGGGGGGGGGTCTGATCCAGCTTTGGTTAATTCATTCAGCTCGGTTATGTCTGTGGTTTTATTTTACAACCTGTTTTCTTTCATTCTTACAGCCCATCCAGCCGGCCATCCTGCCCTTCACGCTGCCCCTTACCCCTGACCTCTCCCCCATGTCTCCCCCCATATTCCCCTTTCAGTCCAAATCCACAGAGTCGCAGCCGGACCGAGGAGAGTCGGCGGCTCCGTCAGGCGTTCTCCTATCTGCTCTGCCGCATTTTGTCGGCTTCAGTCCCATCAAAGGTGTTTGTCCTCTGGACATCTTCAGGAATCACATAAGGTTCCAGAGGGCCCCGGACAGCCCGGCTCTGACCCCCCAGGACTCAACGCAGCATCATCCAACCATCTACACCTTCCAGCCCAAAGCCACAAGCCCAGATACTCCTCATCCCGTGGGTGACCAGCAGCAGACTCAGCCCCACCCACTCCACCAGCACCACAACCGCTGCTCGGGGTGTAACATTGAGGACGGGGGCCAGAGGGGGGCCAACCGGGACCCCAGGAGCCGGCCTCCCCTGCCCCCTCTTCGAGTCTTGCCCCTGAACCTGGACTGCAGCGTTCAGGTGTGCCAGCTGATGAAAACTCGCCATCTGGACTCGTCCCAGCTGCAGACCTTCACCCGCCGGCTCTCTGAGGCTCTCTCCCACGACCTCAGCACCAAGCCCCCCTGCTCCCCTATAACTCCACCCCCTGAGCAGGCGCTGCCCCTCAACCTCAGCAAACGCTTCGCGCCCAAAAGAACCACAGCTGAAGGACCAGAACCCAGCCAACAGGCTTTGAATGGAAACACGGACCCGCCTTTGTCCAAGAAATCCAGACCGGGCTTCCTGGAACAGGCGCAGGACTTCAGCCTGGGGGGGCGGTCCAGCTCTGGAGGAAGTCCAGGAAGTCCAAACATGGATCTGAAGAGCCAGGAGGAACCCGCAGACCTGAGTTCTCCCAGCAGGATCCGGGCCTTCCTGCTCGGTCTGCCACCATTCCAGGTGAAACTGGAGGAGGATCTGAACGGAACCAGGTTCGAAAATTTTCCCCCTGAGGGACAGGGAGTTGTGAAAGTGAAGGACGAGGAGGACGCAAAGGAGCAAATGGAAAGTGTCAAACTACAGAAGTCTGAGAAGGAGAAAGATCCCACTCTGTGTTCTGTTCCCGGTCCCGCTGAACTAAAAGGAGCCGGGCCCTCTTAACGCCGACACACACTGTTTTTAGCATCCACGTGTTCATGCTAACCATCTGACAGCTGTTAGCGGGACGTGGGACGAGTCCACCGCGGTGTTCTGTGTTGGTCAAACCTGCAAATGGAGCGGAGGTGCTTCCTGTCTTCAGCTTTCAGAACTCCCTCTTTTATCTGGTGTCATTTCCAGATTTTACGGACGCAGCCACTCATGACAATCACAGATCAACTTCTCGTCCTTCGTTTTTTCCTCGTTGAGGTGGAAACTGGGTCAGTGCCACGACCCTCCATAACACTATTAACTTCATTCTTCAGTATTCCAGTGAAATGTTGAAGAAGCTCCGTGGTAGAATAAAATAATCACATGTATGGGTGATGCTATGCATCGGGACATCATTACAAGCATCCAGAGCATACTGTAGTCAGCTAGTTTCATTTTTAAATTGTCCTCTACGTCTGTAGAGATATAGTTATTTTCTGATAAAGTGTTTAAATGTAATCTAGGGCTCTAAATGAAAAAGCTCCGTCTTCACGTTATAGCTTGTTAAGTGAAGGCTTTCTAGTAGTCCTGCTTTTAGCTGAATAGAAGAAAGTTTTCTAACACACGTGTGCCTTAACGGGCCGGCGACCCGCCTCACCGCCGCCTCCAGAAACATCCACTCAAAGGGATACCTCGATGTTCTCCGTCGACTGCTCACTTTGATCTCTGATCAAAGGGGGATCTGATCAGACGTGCAGTTAGGCTCTCCTCTTCTTCCTGGCTTTGGTCTGTATTCATGTCTCACCTTCATCACCGCTGTTCAGCGTACATCTTATGTGTAGCCCAGTCAAAACTACCTCAGGTTCTTGTTTTCCCCCACTAAACGGTCAGTTTCCGCGGGTGTGAGACTTTTCTAGCAGTCATTTGGTAGAACATAGGCATCAACTGATCCGCGAAATTACGTCATGATTCATAATTCTTGTGGTTTTCACACTGAGGTGCAGTTTGACTGATGAAGGAGAACCCACCGTTTTAGTTTTCTGCCCCGTTTCGCTAACCGCTAAAGGCAGAATCCTACGTCCACGATATCGACCTGGACCGTGTCACTGGGCAGCCCTGGGTTCTCGCTGTTAGGAGAAAAAATGATCAGGACGCTAAATTTCTCTGGATAGTGTCCGAATTAGTCTCGAATTCGTCTCGATTTAGTGTTCAAAAAGAGCGTTAAAGTGAGAGAAATAAATTGTAAATAGTTTTTGAATCATTTTAAGATTTGCTAAAAAGAGAAGCAGTACGACTCTAAACCAAGAAAAGACGAAAAATTACAAGGATTTTGCACAAAATTTAGTTTTGATAACTAAAACATCTTCAGTTCATTTATTTTCTGTTTAGTGCATTTTGTCACAGCCTTAACTTGCAGTCCAGTTAGATTTCAACTCATTTGCCTCAAAAAAGTCCACAGCAAATTTTGTTTCTGAACTGATAGAAAATGTTCGTATGACCAATTATATCTGGAAGTTTACTATTTTTAACCTTTCCGCGTCCACCACAGAGGGTGTTGCTGTTTCGTCTCCTTCCTAGTCCTAAGTCCCGTGGTTTAAAACATCCAGGTATCCCTTTAAAACGCAGCTTTTCCTGTTTGATGCCACAGATGTTTGTTTCAGATTTGCACACCTACTGTACCTTTTGCTTTTCATGCTCGAAGCCACCATGTTTGATCCTCCAGCTGCCAAAATGTTGATGATTTTAATTTTACCCAAACGTTGAAATCAAACGAACTCCAAACCTAAAAGGTGCCATTTATCGTTGACTGTGTAGCTTATGGCCATATTTGTTTTGGCTCAGTGAAGCCAAAACGCTCGTCGTAGTCGATGAATCAGTGATGGAAAATGTTGAGTGGAGAGAAAATATTTTAAAACTTTTTTCAGTTTTTTTCTGATTTGACTGTTAATTTGGGAATGAATGCATGAGTGGAGATGATCACCCGGTTTATGGGCAGGCACACCAAAGTGCTTCGCCCGATTAGTCCATTAATCCTCTGTTGTTGAAAGTATTTTAAAACTCCGGGTTTAGCTTTAACATTTGTTTTTGCGTCACTTGAAGATAGAAAATGACAGATACTAGTTATGTTTTCTTCAGTGCAGTAACAGGGTAACTACTGTATGTAACTACGGGCTGGCTCGGCTTCCTCTCCTCGGTGAATCTGTATTTATTGTCGCCGAGGTGTTTAAAAGAGTGAGTCCGACTTGTGCAGTAAAAGTCCCGGCATGCTTTAAAGGAACAAGTTTGCACACTTCAAAGAATTTCACAAATTTGTAATTGCAGGAGTAGTTCTGTTAAATGTTAACAAAATGGGGAAGAGGGATGAACTCGAATAACTACAATTGTACCACTAATGTTGAAATACATCTGCGTAAAAGTAGCATTAAGTTCATATGATCACAAAACCACACAATAATTTTATTTGCAAAAGATTGAGCTGGCTGATAAACCACTTAAAGCCTCAAGACAGCTGTTGGAATGTTCGTTAGCCGGACGTTCTAACATCAAGTGTTTTGATTATGACTAAATAATTTTTTATGTAATTTATGATTTAATCTCATTTCTGCTCATTCTGGATATTTTTAATCCTTCAGTTATAACTTGTTTTGGCTCTGCGAGTAATATTAATTTAGTTTATAACTTTAGCAACCTCCGTTAGCTTGCAGAGCTAATAAATGTTTCAATATACAAGTGTGCTGTAAACAAATTTAGGGAGCAGTCGCCTTGTATTCTGGATTATTTTATGTAGTTGGCTGTATTGTTTTGTTTTTGGAAGTGACATTTATTCAGGTTACGGCCGTTCAGATGTTCGTTAGCTGGTCATGCTAACGTGCAAGGTTTTAATCATCCTTGGGAACAATTGCTCCATTTGTAAATGCATTATTTTGTTTTAGTTATGAAGCAGAAGACGTTTGGCTTCTGTAGTAACATTTGTTTAATTTGCAGTTAGCCATTTGTTAGCGAGATGCTAACATGAAAGCTTCTGATCAGGTTGTTCTGAATTGAAGGGTACAGTTAGCTCATGTAATTTTTATTTGATCTTTAGAAAACCTTTATCTAAATCTTTAAGCAGTGCTCAGTGCAAATATTTGATATGGTAGGATCTCGGTTCTTATTTTATAAAAAACTTTGATCGTCTTAATTGTCCGATTTTAGTTCTAGTTTGTTTTAAACAAAGATTTCTGATTCACGGTCACATGCTGACTAAATGGCTGCTAGCAGCTTCCACACCAAGTGGAACATTTTTATTTCCATTTATTCAATTTTATTTTTAACGTAAATAGTTGAGTCTGACTCCCTTTAAAGCTGTTCTTCAAGTGTGCAAACTGGTTCCTCTGAGGTCCATCTGGGCCTTAGCACTCACACTGGGAGCTTCCCAGTCAAACCACCACTCCACTGGACCAGTTTTGTTCACTTATCACATGCAAATTGGCATCAGTTTCTTGGTTTTATTTGCATATAATGATGTAATGCCTTTTAGCAATTGAAAGGCAAGCTTATGTTTTTTGTTTGTTAAACCAGTAAAACCAGTATGATTTCTTTTCTTTTATTTAAGCTTTGTTTAAGGTTTTTTTAGGTGATTTTTTTAATATAAAATTTTATCATGTTTACATTTTATGCATGTTAAGCAGATCTCCTATATACAGTGTTTTGCACACTACTCCAGCATCGGTCTCGAACCATCAGCACGGCCCATTAATGTAATTAATAAGTGCCTGATTCTTACGATTGGACTTGATGTTTGTAAGCAGATAAGAGAAATTAGCTTGTTAGCCTTCATGCCATCGACCTGAACAACGGCCCTGTTGTAGGTTTTGTTGTCCGTGTTATCTTTTTTTTGTTTGTTTGTTTGGGGGGGGGGGGGGGCAGTTTGACATTGACTCAGCTCTGTTTGTTGGAGCAAAATGGACCTAAATAACTTAATAAAAGGGACACTGATGGTCTGTTGGACATTTATGATGGTGAATGATCAAATTAAAGGTGCTACATGTGACTTTTTAACATCTCTGGCTTTTGACAGTGAATTCAGTTTATTTTCATGGAATTAATTTCGTGCCAAAGCACATCAGACTTTTTTCCCCCTTAAATCACTGAAATTATATTTATTGCCGGGGGGGGGGGGGGGGCTAAACCTACAGTTTTATAATTTTTATTTTTGGTTAAATGCTGTATTCTAACATCTGTAAAAAGCTACTAGAGGGAAGTTATACCTACAAAGTAATGAAAAGTATTGGGGGGGGGGGGGGGAATTGGCCATTTAAGGCAAATTATTGGGGGGGGGGGGTCATGTAGACATATTTTTCAGATTTCCATAGGTACATTTTTATTTGAGTTTATGAAAAAATTAATTCTTAAATACATTTTCAAGGTCTTGAAAGTGCTTGAAATTTGCACAGAAGCGTAAACATTTGAGACGAGGAAGGGACGTTTGAGCTTATGCAGTTCTGTTCATGTTTATGTGAATCACTGAGGTGCTGGAAAGTTTTGAAAGTGCTTGAGTTCGATTTTGGCAGAAGGTCCCACAGATGAAATGACAGCTTCCTCTAACAGGATCTTTTACTGGGTGGAAACCGTAAACCGATGATTAAAAATGCTCCCATGTGGCACCTTTATACTCTGGGTGTTCTGCTGATGAATATCTTTGTTTTATTTTAAATTCCTTTTTCCTCCTTGAATTTAACCACAGATGAACTAACTGTAAATTACAAGCATCTTAATGTGCTTTTCACAGCAGAGTGTGCAGAACTGTTGTTCACAGACCAATGACAAACTGATGCTATTTAAACAAGCTTTTTAAAATATGACAACAACAAAAAAATACTGTAACCGACACTCTGTTAATGTGATCTACTTTGATCATTACAGCACACGGTTCATTTTTTTAAGTGGTAAACTGCTTTCAGTGTCAGGTACCATTCCATTTTAACACTGTATATTTATAATAAAAAGTATTCTGTTAACGAGCCTCTTTTTTCAGATTTAGCACTTTTAAAAGGTTTTATTCTAAAATCTTGTTTTTTAAATGAAAATATACTTTAGCCATAGCATGATCCAGCAGTTAGTTTTGCTATGTAATTCTATAACATAGCAGTAATAAAGAATTAAAAGCGGCCCTTGGTATCTGCTGATCCACCACCAGAGGGCAGTAGACATGTATAGGACTGGCTATGGCAGGTTTCTGATTCAATTCAATTCAAAAATACTTTATTAATTCCAGAGGGAAATTGATTGCTGTAGTAGCTCAGAATAATAATAATAATCAAGTCATCAAAGAGTTGTTGTATATTACAATGGCTGTTGGCAGGAAGGATCTCCAGTAGCGGTCAGTGTTGCAGCCAAACTGAAGAAGCCTCTGACTGAAGACGCTCTTCCGTTGTTGGACAGTCTTCTGAAGAGAATGCTCAGGGTTGTCCATCATTTTCTTGATTCTCTGGAGAATCCTTCTTTGCATTATCTCCTCCAGCGGTTCCGAAACTGCCGATACTCTGGCTGAGTCCTTGAAAGGGCTTGGAGTTCCTCCATCTTGTTGGCCAGTGATCTCACATTTCCCATTATGATCGATAGAAGAGATGGTTTGGATTTCCGCTTTCTCTGTCTCCGTTTTGCTCCCGCTCTGCATCCACGCTTCTCGCGTTTTAGCTCATTTGGGATTTGTGGCTTCAGTTGAGGTATTATTTCAGCCTTTCCAATGTTAATCAGCTGCTCCCGATTGTAAACCAGCTTGTTGCCATGGTTACACATCAAAACAAATGCTCAAAAAGTGAAAAAAAAAGCTAAAAAATAGCAGTAAAAATTCTCCAAGCTTCACAGCACCAGAAACAGAAAAGTAAAGTGTCCAAAAAAATAGTTTTTCTTGAGACACTAGAAGAAAAAATGACGAAGACGATACTAATCCTGCTGCTCCATCTGTTGCACATCAATGTCAAATGACAAACACTTTTTAAAAATGCTTAAAATATGTTCATGGGGAAATGAAGTGGAAAAATAATTAAACTTTATGATCAATGATGGATAGAGGATCAAAACATTACAGGAATTAGAGTAAAAAACGACAGGACTTTATTTGTGTATGTATTTTTGCTTCATAAACATGGTTTATTCTTGCAGTTAAACGGAGGGAACGCTGGAATCATCCCTACAAATAACCGGAGCATTCGGAGAACCCTCACACCTGGGATTCAGACAGCTTTTTTTATTTAGCTTTTAAGATGGGGAAGATTTAATGTTTTTATTTTTCTGTTTGGTTGATGTGATTCCCGGAGCTGAACACTAGATGGAAACAAAGCTCTTCGAGCAAGCGAGTAGTTTTATTATTCCTTAACACTGTCCCCGCTTAAATCAGTTACGTTACTTTTTGGAAGGTATTTTTTGAAATTTTCTGTTTAGTTTTAAATAATCCCAAGTTTGAGTGAACGTTACTGATTCTTATTCATTTTTGTGGAGATGAGTGAACAATGTTTATTACACAAGAGTAAGTCCAGCATTCCACCCCTGCAGGAATTTTAAAGTTGGTCTGTTTGACGAGTAAACGTTCTCACCGAGGAGGAAATGGAACGCATTCCCCACTTTGCTTCAGGAACGCTGTTACATACCAGAGGTCAAAGGTCATGTTTGGGTTGGACGTTTATGTTTTAGCCATTTAAGGTCCTGCTTTGACCTTTGGAAAAACAACAGATCCGTGGAGGCAGCTCCAGGGCTTCAATCTCATCCAGATTCTTAATAAATGTGTTTAATGGAAAATTGATCAGAATTGTTTTGAATGATCATAACAAAATGTTCCGGTCCTCATAATATGGCTTGATTTCTGTGAGAAATGGTAAATGATCTGTATTTGATACAGGGTTCTACAGTCCCCCAAGACGCTTTACAGCACAACCAATCTTCCACATTCACACCAATAAAACCTTTTTAATTCGGTGGCCAGGTTATTTTTAGTCATGTTGTGATTATTGTTTTAATTTCAGTAAATTTATTTTATTTTATTTCAGTTCATAAAAGCAGGCAGATGAAGAATTGACCCGTTCGACATGCATGTTTGTGATTTCCTGTTGTGACGCGAGACTTTCAGGTGTTATCCGACATGCTGAAGTGAAGCCGTGTTGCTGCTTCAACATATATTTTTTAGAGTAAATGACTTTTAACATGTTTCTCTGCAGATTTTTCCTGTTAATCTTAGGTTTTATTAGTTCATTGCCCTCAGAGGCCTTTAGGTGGATATTTACAGCATTAATCTCCACTTTTGTTTCACACCCACCGGGTTTTCATTTCTCTAATCTCTTCACATCCACCATGACGCCCACATCTGTTCTTGGCTGCAGAACAAATTTATACCACGTAGTCAGATAAATGCGTTTCATTTTTAAAGAGTTACAAACTTTTCTTTAAGGTGGAGTTTTAGTTTCCTTGAGGTGAGCTGCTCGTGTGTCTGCAGACAAATTAAACTGAATAGAGCGTCTCTGAGGACGCGAGCTTAAAGAGACTCCTCATTTAAAGTCGTCTAACACTGAGCAGAACAAATGGGAACCAAGACACTTTAGAGGGATTTAGAAGACAGACAAAAGACTAGAAGAGACTCGCTTTCACGCAGACTTAAAAACAGCCCTTTGGTTTGTCCATCTGTCCACCTGTCTTCTTCTGAGACATCCCAGTATAGAGGCTGCTCAGTAAATCGATCAATATGGCCTCGCAATAAAAGCCTTTAGTTGAGAAACAAGCATCAACAAAACCAAATTAAAATGTTTACTTTCATGTTTTTTGATCAAACACAGAAGTTTTAACCTAACAATCCATCCTATACATGTACACATTTAGTCTTGCCACAAACCATTGCAACAGATGGCTCATGGGGAGGAATCTATTGTCGTCTATCAAACTGTCTCTGTAAGCAGTTGGAATGCATACGGTCCAATCAGAGCAACAACAACATGATTTACTCACTGTTAAAGATGTCAATCAATGGGGTGGTCCCCATACACTGTCGATGAAAGCACAAATACAGCCTTTGTCTAAAGAAAGGACTTTGGTACCTCCATCTGCTCACGTCTCAAAGAAGAGCTCAAGTATAACTCTTCCAAAGTTGATGCCAAAGTCGTTTAAAAGGTGCACCTTTCCTTAGCCGATTCCATCTTTGCTTTTTTTTTCTCTGACGTAGCGCTAGCGTTAAGCCTGCCTAAAATATGTTGAGTGCTCTGATTGGCCAGACACAAAACAGTTTGGCCAGTAGTAGACATGAAGCTACAAGGGAGCATGGCTAGACCGACCTGCAGAACAAAGTCTTTTTGCTACTACTAAAGCTGGTCTTTCTACACCAGGGGTAATTGTTGTCCTGGAGGGCTGGTATCCAGCACGTTTTAATGGTTCCTCTGCACCAACACACTTGATTCATAGGTTGAATCGCCTGTGCAGCAGCTCGTCAGGCTCAGCAGAAGCCTGCTCATCACCTGCTGATTGAAATCAGGTTTGTTGAAGCAGGTTAAAAATAAACGTGCTGGATACCGACCCTCAAGGCCCGGAATTGAAAACCTCTGTTCTAGACCAGCAAATACACTCACCTAAAGGATTTTTAGGAACACCTGTTCAACTTCTCCTTAATGCAATTATCTAATCAACCAATCACATGGCAGTTGCTTCAGTGCATTTAGGGGCGTGGTCCTGGTCAAGGCCATCTCCTGAACTCCAAACTGAAGGTCAGAACAGGAAAGAAAGATGATTTAAGCTTTTTTGAGCGTGGTGTGGTTGTTGGTGCCAGACGGGCCGGTCTGAGTATTTCACAATCTGCTCAGTTACTGGGATTTTCACCCACAACCATTTCTAGGGTTTACAAAGAATGGTGTGAAAAGGGAAAAACATCCCGTATGCAACAGTCCTGTGGGCCAAAATGCCTTGTTGAGGCTAGAGGTCAGAGGAGAATGGGCCGACTGATTCAAGGGGATAGAAGACCCTAACCCTAACCCTTGTTACAACTGAGGAATGCAGCAAAGCATTTGTGAAGCC